AGTCAAACAATTCTGTTATGACTTGATAGAGAATATTTTTCTCAGTGATGTAACGCCTGATTCTCTTCCAAAGCCATTCAGGGTCAGATTTTCTTTTGGCAGCAAAAGTGGTTCCATTCTTCTCCAAATATGCTATGACCTGTAGTTTATCTCTCTTGTCCTGGATGAACATAGTATCACTGAATGCTCTAGCAAATTGCTTGCTAAGTGTATGTCTCTTTGAAATTGTACAATTTATTCTATCCATAACATGAAAAACATCATTTAGAATTCTTGAAGGAACTTCTTTTGACTGTTGTCCTTGAATATGAATTGTGGGATCAATTATCTCAGAGATTTCCACATCAGGTTCTATATCAGGATCAGAATCAGAATCAGAATTGGAGGCATCAACATCCATATGCTTAGTAGGTTGGGGTGGTTTGATTACTCTTGGTGAATCTTTTTCTGCTGGTGGTAAATTTTGACTTGGAGGCAGTGGAGGATTTTCGTTTCAAGTTCACAAAAAGCTCAGATCAACAAGGACTTCAAAGGATTCTCTCCCATTTTTAATCTGTTCAAGAGTTTTCTTATGAAATGAGAGTACACATGCTGGAGCTAACACATTATCAATTCTGACAACTGCTCATCTCTTTGTTGAAGACACTCAAAGTGGTGTAGCTACATTTCCCACCATAATAGAAAATTCATGTGGTTGGGGAATGATAACTCCATGTGCAACTTCTTTTCTCCACATCACCAGGCTTACCAATTGCCCCACAGGTCCTGCAACTTGGAGAGGAATACCTACTGTGGGGGTAATCTTGAGTACATTATAAATTTCAAGGCTTGCCCATGCATCAAGTGCAGCATATGTGACTTGATTTTCAGAAAGTTTAGGAGCATTCCACTCAGATATTCTTGTATCCTTTGAGATATGTTTGTGGAGTACAGCTGCACCGATTTCTGCAAGTGATGCATTTCCCTTAACAACTGCTTTCTTAGATTTTGCAAATGCACCAAGTTCCAAGATGCCAACATATTTCTTTCCACTTTTATGTGGCAACTTGAAATCTTTGAAATCTCTTGCTAGTTTTGCTAAATCTGCACCTATACCCCAACCAATTTTCATTATTCTCTTTGTTGTCAAGATTGTTTTCAATGGGGAAGGAAGCTGTTTAAGGAGATGAACATGGAAAAGGTATACAGCATTAGACAGAGCCTTAGGTTTTAATGAAAGTGCAATGAAGTCGCCATGGAAGGGTTATGAAATTGACAATGAAATCAGCAGGAAGACTTATGAAATATATCTCAAAACTTCCCCATAGTTTATGAAAAGTTCTGACAATTATATGAATGAAATAGATAGGACATCCTAATGAGATGCCTCTCATAAACGTTGTGACAGTTCGTTTGAGATGACCATTGGCATTGCCATTGTTTTATCATAAAATATTGGTTCCCACTGGTGGGGCAGTTGTGGTCGTTGGTGGGCAGTCGCGTTGGTGGGCAGTCGTCCTCATATGTGGGCGGTCATTTGTGTACGTCGGGGGTATCCGCCGTTTGTCAACCACAGTGGTGTCGTCCATGGGTGCTGGGTTGTCGTTGTCCATCATTGGGGGTCGTCGTGCACTAGTAGCTGCCATTTACATCATGTAAAACCTGGCATGTATCACAGAAGTTCCTGCTTAGCTGCCATGAATGAAATGAAATGAATTTTCATTCATTCACAGCACCTGTTTCATTCCAAGTCATTCTCATTCATTGCCATGGACAATGAAATATTTTTTGTTTCATTTCATTTCATATCGATTTTTTCTTCATTTCTACTGACAAGAATGAAATTTATTTTGTTTCATTCATTCCTGGCGAATGTTTCATTTTTAACATCATTCCACCATGGCAACTGTTTCATTCTTTGCTTCGTTTCATTCATTCCTGGCAACTGTTTCATTTCATTTCTTTTTTCATTCATTGCTGTAGAAATTTCATTTCATTCTTTTCAGGCAGTTATTTCATCTTTGTTTCATTCTTTCAGGCAACAATTTCAATGTTTTAATATACACCTAAATAAGGAAATAATATACAATTATGCCTGATGTGTGTTGTGCCCTACTGCAGTGGTGTGGGGGGTCATATGGGGGTACTTTTGGATTTGAGGCTCAAATACATAACAAGATATGCATGCTGTTGCCAATTAAGGCACTGAAATATTTTGCATCAATTACATAATCATTTTCCCAGCTCTAACAATGAAATAGGCACCTGAGAAGAATGAAATAAAAATGAATGACTGCCCTAGTAAGAATGAAGCAAAGAATGAAACAGTTGCCATGGTGGAATGAAATTAAAAAATAAAACAGTTGCCAGGAATGAATGAAACAGAATAAATTATCAAGAATGAAACAGGTGCTGTGAATGAATGAAAATTCATTTCATTTCATTCATGGCAGCTAAGCAGGAATTTCTATGGTACAGCTCAGGAGTACATGATGTAAGTGGTAGCTACCAGTCCGTCGTGTCCATGTGTGGTGTGCATTGGTGAGTGGGGGGTCGTTGTTGTCCATGTGGGAAGTCATTGTCATCGTCTGTGGGTGCTCGTCTCATTGTTCGTTGTTGAAACAGTCAACATTGACATGGCATGCCTGGATGGGCATGCCACATCAGTGGTTTGGTGGTGGCGCCGTTTGTTGGGTGCCACCGCCTCATCGGCATTGGTGGGTGGGCTGTCATGGTGGTGTGTGGTGGTGGTGGCACATGGTGGTGGGGTTGTCATCCCTTG